TATAATAAATTTATTCTCTTAGTTCTAAATTTATAATATAGGCTATATTAATTTAAGTAATATCTTCTAATTATATTTAAGACTAACTTTTTCTAGAATATAATTATTTAGATTTTTTATTTATTCTAGCTTAATTACTATAGCTACTATAGTATTTCTTATAACCTTTATTATAACCTCTAGTATATTTTTTTTCTAAAAACCTGAATTATATTTACTAGGCTATTAATACTATTATATTTATTATAATTAACTAGATTATATAAATAGGCTATAAATATTTTCTCGAATTATAATAATAGCTATATTAAGTTATTTCTATAGGTTCTCTTAAATTATAGTAGTAATAGATAGTTTTTCTAGACTTCTTACTAGCTAGTTAATATTATTTCTTTTAGGTTTACTACTTTTAATAAGTTTTATATAATTAGTTATAAGCTGAATTTTCTTTTTATTTATATTTATAATAGCTTTAGAAAGTATAATAAAAGAAACTAATAAGAAATAATTATTTTCTAATTTAGGAACTATATTATAAATTACTATATTTAAATATTCTTATCTAAGTCTAAATATATCTGGGTTATTAATAATATTAAAATAATATTTCTTTTTTTTTATATTAATAGAATATTACTATTTTCTTATATATTTTATTATATTTATAGATTTAAAGTTTATATTTTTAAGAATATAATCTCTTACTAGAATAAATAATTCTCTTATAAATTCTTAGTATTAAGTAATTTTATTTATTTCTTTTCTTTTTAGTAATTTCTTTAATACTTTATTAAATATATTAATATAAGACTTAGAAGAGATTTCTTTATTCTAGGCTTATATAATAATTGAATTAAGAAAGTTATAGCTAATTTTAAGTATTTTCTAGTTATATTCTCGGAATTTCTTTAATAAGGCTTTAAAGAACTTAGTTTTCTAGTAATTTCCTAAATTATTAATATAATATTTTAGTATAATCTTAATATATTTTTTATAAATAAAAGAAATATAATAGATAATTCTTTCTTCTTTAGTATTATTAGAAATATAATAATTCTTATATATATTTATATATTATTCCAAAAATATAAAGATATTACTTTCCTAAAACTATAATATTTTAGAAGCTTTTATAAATAATAGATTTAAATCTAGTACTAATATATATTTATTTTTAGCTATATTAATTTTAATAATTTCTTCTATAATTAATTATAAAGTTTCTATTTCTAAAACTTCTATTAATAAGATTTCTAAAGAACTAATTTCCTATTTAAATATATCTTTTAATTTAGGAACCGGAATTTAGAAGAAACTAGTTAATAATAATAAATATAATTAAGGTTCGAGTTTTAGTATTAGTAATAATAAAATAATAGCTTTTCTAGTTTTATTTCTATTATTTATACTTTCTTTTTTATTTTATTAGCTTAATACTTATAGTATTTCTTTTTATTTTTACTAAATTAAATATATTTAATAATATTATTAAAAGTAATAATAAAAATAATAAATATAATTTTACTAATTTTTCTAACTTTTCTGAATTTTCTTTTTTATTTCTATTTAATATCCTTTCTTTTCTTTAAAACCTGCACTAGATTATTTATATAATTTCTTATTTCCGATTTCTTTTTAATTTTTATTTCTGATTTTTATTTACTATTTTATTTAAAATTAAAGATATTTCTTTTTTTAGGTATTTTTTCTAGATTTAGAAATAAGCTTTTTTATTATAACTAAAAATAATATATAAATTAATAATATAATTTTATTTCCGAGTACTAAAGTCTATTTCTAACTAAGATCTAACTTATACTATTTTAGTATAATATTTCTTATTTTAATTTTTCTATTTCTTTTTCTTTTATAATTAGCTTCTATTTCTATTATTTCTATATATTATACTAGTAATTATATCTTATAGCTAATCTATATTTAAGTTACTAGATATATTAAAATTAATACTTATATATTTTTAATATTTTAGCTTTAAGCTTAAAATATTATAATAACCTTTTTCTTTTCTAACTTACTAAGCTAATAATCCGCCTTATAGAAATTTCTTAGAACTTTATAAAAGTATTATTTTAACTATAAAGTTTTAATTATTTCTGTATTATTTATTATAAAATATATAAAATAAAAACTATAATAAAATAAAAACCTATATAAAATATACTAGAATATAAAACATAACTTAATAGTAAAATAATAAGATTAAAGGCATAAATAGTAAAGTATAAATAGTATATAATATATAAAAGCTTAATTAGTTAAATATTAAAAAGGAATTATTTTCTAGAACTATAGAAAAACTAGCTTTCTTATATAATTTCTATAAGTTATATATAAAAGGCCGCGGCTTTTATTATATAACTAAAACCTTAAAATTACTAAAATAATATAATTTTTGGAAAGTATAGCCTGCTATACTATAATATAGAATAGTAATTTTTTAAGACTATTTCTTTTTATCTAATCTAAGGCTTGGATTTCCTATATATACTTGTTTTTAGTTTTTTTAGTTAGTTTATTCTCGGATATTTTCGGGAAGACTAAATTATTTTTAATATTATTTGCCTAGTCTATAATCCGGAACTACTTCTTTAGCTATAGCCTTAGAGTAAGAATATCTTTAATTATATAATAATACTGAAATATACTAGCCAAAATTATAATAAATAGTAAAAATAAGATATTATTAGTAAAAAAAAAGAGATATAGACTCGAGTCTCTTATATAGTATATATTTTAGTCTATATATAAATTATTAGTAATCTATTTAAACTTTAAAATAATGAAAAATCTTAATTTACTTTTTCGAAATATTTTTTATATCTTTGGCTTATTCTTTCTTAAAACCTATTTTAATTTCCGGCTCTATATCTTTTTATATATAACTATATAAAGAAAATTCTAATAGAAACGATTAGTAATAAATATCTTTATATATTTTTATTTTAAACTTAATATCTAATTTTAAACTTCGCCTTATATATTTTCTATAGCCTAGTAAAGATATAGTAATATATCTTTAATAAGGTATTTAGATCCATATAGTATTCTTTATAAATATAGTTATAATAGTTATATTACTAAAATAACTTCTTTATACTAATATAATTCTCTATTATAAAGAATATAGATGCCTTTTATAATATAAATAAACTAATTTTATATATAACTTATCTTTAATATATTTCCTCTTTTATTAGTAAATATATAATTGACTAATATTTTAATATAAATAGGCCTTATAAGTATACTTATAGGAGCTATTAAGTTATGAATTTCTTGAGGCATTTTATAGTCGGTTTTCTGCTTCTATTATAAGAATAGTATTTATATCTTAACCTATATAGTTTAAACAGTTACTATTTCCCCTTTTTTATCTAGCTAACCGGGGGTTATAAGCCTAATAGCTTTAGTAATATACTTTATAGTTTCTATATTATTTAGATATAAGTTCAGGATTTCGCCTCTTTTCTTCTATACTAGTTTTTCTATTCTTTTCTTATATCTAATATATATTAGTATTTGCTATTATAGACTTTAATTTTATAGTATTATTAATATATACTTCTCAAAACTTCTATATTGCCTTATAGTACGGTTTACTACTATCTTTATCAAGTTTTCTATAAACGGGTTTGCTACTAATATCGAATCTGTCTTTAGAGAGCCCTTTACTTAGGGCTGCCTCTATCTGCTCCTCTGGACTCAGTTCTTTTATATTATATTGAGGTCTATATCTCTATAGATACAAATATCCGGAGTAGAAAGAAAGGGACTTAATAGATGGAAGATAAGATAGGTAAGAAGATAGGTAAGAAGATAGGTAAGAAGATAGGTAAGAAGATAGGTAAGAAGATAGGTGAGAAAATAGGAGAGGAGATAGGAAAAGAGACGAGAGTAAAGATGGGAGAGAAGATGAAGCAAAGTTGCGAGAGCGAGAGAAGACGCCATTTTTAGAATATAGGGACGAAAGTATCTTTATAGTCTCTATATATATTATAGTATAGTTGAAGTGGTAATATATTTGAGATCCTTGGCTGGAAGAGGGGCCTTTTCCGGCCTCTCGTTAAAAGTTAATAATTTCTAGTAAGGTTATTCTTAGCTGTACTGCGTTGCGTAATGGGGGGTGAGCAGACCTGAGCAGACCTGAGCCGAGGGTGAGCCTGGCCTGAGCCGAGCCTGAGCAAGGGCGGCGCTGCTTACGTGAGATATAGGATTGGGAAGAGTAAACATTCCGGTGGGGGAACAGTCGATCCGATTCAAAAGCGACAAAAAAAAAAAGAAAAGTCTACCAAAGTACTAATTGATATAAATTGTATTAATCGGAACTATTATATATCTTCTAGTAATTAATTTCTTGGTCTCCGATTTTTAATACCTCTAATATTACAGAAGTTATAAAGCACGTGACCATTTTATACAAGCTTATATAGAAATTTTTGCGTTTTATAAGAATAAAAAATTACATCTCGTATAATATACAAGGCTGCATGTAATTAAAATCATATACTTTTTATACTTTATATTCTCTTTAGTAATAACTTTTAAAATACAAGCTCTTACTAGATATACTAAGCTAATAGAAGCTTAAGGAGCCTTATAAGGCCTTATAAGTCTAAGTTTAATTTACTATTTACTCAGGTATACGTAACTTTCGTAAAATATTTTTGCGTTTTGTATAGTCAGAAATCAAAAAGTAAGAAATGTCCGTATACTTCAAAACTCGATTACTAATTAACTACAAATTGCATTAGAAATCTGATTAATAGGTTTTATTCGCTTGGTTCTTTTCTATAATTGCATGAGTTAGTATTAATTACTCGGGTTGTGGTTAACAAGTTATTATGGATACAAAAGGGCGACCGTTTTGTTGCTTTTGGATCGGACCGACTGTAGAGGAGTTGGACCGAACTTGGTGAAGCCTTCTGAGTGTTTGGTCGTGAGGGCCGAGTACTGGAATGAAAGAGATAGAAGCGACCTTGCAGGTATTTGAAAATTACGTGTTCTTTTGCAGACAGTTCCAAATTTTCGTGCGACTAGAAATAGCATTTCCATTGTTCCCGGCTTATAGTCTGCTCTTGTCCCAGTTTCGATCCCATTTTGGCCTCCTCCTCTCGACAAACGCCGCAATCCCTTCCTCGGAATTCCTTCCTTCCCTCAAAAACGGAGCCCAATATTTGTCTTTGAACTCTTTCCCCGCCTCAAAACTTCCCTTTTCACCCAGCCCCAAGAAAATACCCTCACGACTAGCCCAGACAGCATCGGGACTATTCTCCGCAATCACTTTGGCAATTTCAACAGCCTCTTCCACGGGATTTTCAACGACTTTATCAACCAAACCCCACATCAAGGCTTCATCTGCTCCCACGTTTCGACCAGTCAAGACCATATCTGTTGCCCTTCCGCGCCCGATTTTCCAGACGAGCAGAGGAAGAGTGCCACCCAGAAGTGAAAGGCCAACTTTGACGTCCGGGAGAGAAAGAACGGCTGAAGGAGAACAGAACACCATGTCACAATTAAGAAGCACTTCGACTCCACCGCCTACAGCTAAACCGTTCACAGCCGCTAGAATGGGTTTTCTGCCATGTCGAGAGGAGATGCCGCAGAAGCCGGTTGGAGGCAAATTTCCTTTCTGTTTCTTAGGTGTCTTAATCCATTCTTTGGAAAGTCAGAGACAGCGTTGGATCTATAACTCCCAAACGCTCGTGGACCATTTCATGCGATTGAATTATGAGGGGAAAGTGCTCACCTCGAAGATCTGCACCAGTGGAAAATGCTCGCCCAGAACCAGTAAATATTCCCACTAAGATATCAGGATTACTATCCATCCAATTCCATACTCTCTCGAGCTCCCAGTGCCCGTGATTTGGAATGGTGTTCAACTCTTTCGCTCGAGTGAGTGTCACGAGTAGAATGGACGGGGTAGGGAATGAAAGTGAACAGATGGTGGTCCCTAGAGGAGGTGAGTACATATTTTAGCAGGGTCAACTTAGCTAATTTATGCCAAAAGAGAAAGGAGATTATTCGAGTTGCTCGGCATGCTTGTATGGAGGGGAGACTTCGGGAAAGAGGACTTCGAAAGTTGCTCAGTAATCATGACTTCGAGCTCAACCGAGGTCCTGCCTGCTTAGTTCTTCCTTTCTGGCACTTGAAGGCAAGAAAAGGAAGCCGGGTCTAAAATTGTTTGCTCTCGTTCAAGTCGGTATCTCCTGAAAGAATCAGCAAAGCGGAAAGATGAAGCAGAAAAGGGGCAAAAGTGTAAAGCAGTTATGGCACGTAAGTCGGACACGTGATCACCCCACTTCTCCTTTTTGGTGGTTGCTTGATAAGCACTTGGCTAAATTTTGATGTTAAGCGTCATAAGAGCGTCACAACGCATCTTGACTCATATCAATATAAAGTGAGATAGTATTGCAGGGCAGAAGATCGAAAGATCGACAACTGGATTTCCAAAAGTGGTTGATTAACGAGCGTCAAGATATGTGGATGATAAATCACGCGTCATCGACCTACCCCACTCTTATCAGATTTCCCAAGCCTTATCCCACAGTATAAAGATCTTGGGGGAACTTTTTGAAGCTCAGTCAGGGCTAAAATTTGGATATCCTCGACCTCAAAACTACTTGACACTCCCTGCGGAAGCCGTCTTCACCATGTCGTCTGCCTTCGGTGCATTAGTGACCATCGAATCTGAAGATCTTCAGATTTGGCCCCCGGAAAATCCCATGAGGTTTGACCAAGATGCATCTCGTGAGCGTCCAGTTCCCCCTCCTGAGTTTGGAGACGTTGAGATGCTCCCCATCCCCAGCTCAGGCCGTTCATCTGGATCTCGGGATCGTATCGAGAATGTCGACGAAGCTCAACGCGTTTCAAGCGATATGGTCAGAGATAATCAGAGGCAAGGAACAATATCAGATCAAATACAAACCATATGGTATCCATATAAGAACAAATTTCGAGTAATGGCTGCTTGTTTGACTGCCATGGCGAACGGAATGAATGACTCGGCCCCAGGAGCACTGATTGCAAGCCTCGAAAGGTATGAGGGGCACCGGAACTCTGAAAACTAGAACTGAGCTGAAAGTCTGCAGAGACTATAACATTTCCTATGGCACTGTCTCGATCATTTTCGTCTGCAATGCCCTTGGGTTTGTAGCAGCTGCCTTTTTCATCAGTGCACTCTCTTCCAGAATTGGACGGGCGAAGTGTTTGATGATATCGGAGGCTTTGCTAATCCTTGGATACACGGCCATTGTCACGACCCCACCGTTTCCAGTCGTTTGCGCATCGTAGGTATCCCATCCCCTCGAACAAATGTTTTCCTGATCTGTGATAGATTCTTCGTCCTCGGAGTCGGGATGGCCATGAATTTGGCTATCTGCCAAGTCTTCTGTGCTAACCTCGCAAACAATACTGCTGTGGTTGGGGCATACCAAGGCGCTTATGGCATCGGCGGAATCGCTGGGCCACTCATTGCTACTGCGCTTGTGTCTCGAGGTAATGTCTGGTCGCGATTCTATACTGTAGAACTGGGACTTGCGGCTCTCAACTTTTTTCTGATTCCGTGGGCCTTTTGGAAGTACGAATTGGAGTCCGAGCAAGAGCAAGTACTCCCTCACCCAGCCGGTGAGCAGAATGAAAGCACGCAACGGAAGTGGAGATCTTTCAAAACACTCTTGTCAGACAGAACAACCGTCCTTGGATCTCTTTTCATCTTTGCTTATCAAGGATCCGAGGTGCGTAACCTTTTCAGTAGCAATACGCCAAGTAACTCACTGACCAATGATAGGTTGCCATCTCCGGTTGGGTAATTGCCTTCTTGGTGCAATTCCGGCACGGAGATCCCAGTAAAGTGGGCTATGTAACTTCCGGTTTCTGGGCTGGCATAACACTTGGTGAGTTTTAATGGATGGTTGCACATAATAGACGCTGATGTGCTGCAGGGCGTTTCACACTCTCATTTTTGGCCCACCACATTGGGGAACGCCTTTTCGTTTTCATAGTCACTGTAGGAGTAAGTGGTCTCTTCCTATGTTCTCGGAGAAAAATCTTACCGATATCTCTGCAGGCTTTGATCCTCGAACTCCTCATCTGGTTCGTACCGTCAATTCCAGGTGATTCCATCGCCGTGGCATTTTCATGCCTCCTGCTTGGACCGATTTACCCTTGTGCTGTACACATTTTCCAACGACTCATCCCTCGGAAGATGCAAATCTCATCACTTTCTCTCATTGGTTCAGTTGGAAGCTCTGGAGGCGCCGTGGCACCCTTCATGACAGGAATGTTGGCTCAGCATGTTGGAACATTTGTCTTACATCCAATCTGCATCGGCTTGTTCGTGAGCATGGGTCTAGCCTGGTTCTTTCTGCCCGAGCCCGAGAAGAGATCTGAATAAGGAGGCTTTCAGACTCGTGGTTACGAGGATCCCGGTGATGCCACAAGCCCAGGGAACTCCGTCCGGAGATTTGTCGTTGCTTTACACCTCTCAGGGATTATCTGCACGCCAGGGCTTCTCACTCCCTTTCCGCTGTGTATCTGTGGCGTTTTCTCGATGCCATTTCTAATTCCATCCTCATGTGACAACACAGGGACCATCCACCAAGCTCTTATTGCTTCTGGTATCGCAGGACGGTGTCGCCAGCTCGACATCATCCTCAAACACAAAACTTCCTACTCGAGCTTGAGGATTCGTTCGTGATTGGTGGGTGGGAGAGGCTCGATTATTGAGCATATTCGGGGAGGTATCGAAATGTTGTATGCGCGAGGCTTCGACGCGACCCCGGATGAAGATGGCAAAGGATGGCAGGAACCCCACAATAATAGCTGTTAGTGCAAGCTGAGTCAGTGGACTTCACCATTTATGAGCAACCAGGTAGATTTACCAACTCCACCTTCTACAACGGACCAGAGTGTAGTCACTTCTCCCTTCTCAAAACTCGAATTCATTGAAGTGATACGGATGATGCCAACAATTATAGTAAGGATGCCGACTGTGAACACGATTCCGACGGCGAATTTCTGAGCTGTCGAGATCCGTATGGTGTACAAAATATGAACAGGAATAGCCATGACTATTTAGGTTGAAGCAGTGGTTAGTGGCGTCAAATGGGGTGCTAGTGTGGAAGAGAAAGAAAGAGGGCGCGGGAGGTTACTCATTAAATCAGTAAGGAGACCAGCAGCGAAACCATACCAGAGGCTTGCGGCCATTGCGATCTCACCTCTTGGCTTAGAACACTCATCTGGAACAGTTAGTAGCGGCTTCGGCAGAGTCGTTCTGGAAGAATTGTGCAAAGAGAGCCTCACCACCGGGGTTGAACAAAGCATGCAAACTTGAACAGCTGGTAAAAGCGCTGATTACGCATCCCACAAATGTAATTATGGTAAAAGCCATCACTCCCCACCAAATCTTCGTATATGTTGATAGCCCAATGGTGAGTTTCTGGAACATGCAGAGAAGGCTCAGTTTTACGGCCCACAATGTAGACCAGAAGAACATCTCGATCACAAGCAAGCCTTTCAAGACTGCAACCATATCTGCCCCCATACTTACATAGACTTCTATTTGACCAGTAGGGACTTGGGAAAGGTCGTGGAGTTTGGGAAGATAAGACAAGTAAGGTGAACACGTTGTCGCGAACGAGGCCAGCCCGAAGTACGAAGGTACATGAAGACATCCTCGGACGACAAGGGTAGATGAAGAGCTTTGACCCAGCGAGCCCATGTACGAAGAACCACTAGTAGCAAGAGACGATTAGACATGCGATCAATATTCGCTGGATATACTAGTCAGCATCGGTACATCCAGCATCGGCCAAGGGGATTAGGGAGAGCGCCTGTGCCTACCACGAGGGTCTCATCCGAATCATCTTGCGTATCCAGTAGGAACTCTCGACGTTTGTACATTGAGATGGGACGGGCTGAAAGTATTTGGGCCCGTGTTCGCTGAGGCCTCAAGGCAGCCTAGATCTTGGTTTTGATTGAAAGTGAGAAGATGGAGAAGACCTGAACGCGGTGGAACGCGGTGCACGATGATAAGCCATCCCAGCGGAGCTACAGTCGGTCTGATCTAAAAGCGACAAACCCCCCCCCCCCCCCCCCCCCCCCACTATAATACCAATTAATATAAATCGTAGTAATTAATTCTATATTCTCAAAATTATAATATCTTTATTATTAAAGGAGATATAATATATATAATTAAATAAGTAAATTTTTTTGTATTTTATATAATATTTATTTCTATATACTAAAAAAACCGGTATACTAAAAAAACTTTCTATTTAAGGAGTCTTAAATCTCTATTATATAAATATAAAAAGCTATAATTTGTTTACTATTATTCTTTAGATATATTTCTCTATAAGGGCTTAATTTATAATTAGAAAAATACTATAGTTTAGCTATACTATTAATTATTTTATTAAGAGTATTAAAAGCTACTATAGCTATTATTCCTTACTTTATTATAATTATTAACCTGTTCTCGGAACTCGGGGCTGTAATATTGAGCTTTTATTAAGTTTAAATATAACTCTAAAGTTTAAAGATATAGAGTATAAGAAAACCTGCCTGCCGGATTTATTCGAATAAAAATAAAAGGTATTGTGGGAGGGAAACTGCGACAAGACAAAAACCCACATAAAGTATACCAGAGCGCAAAACGTGACTTGACAGCAAAACAACAAATCAAAAGCGTAAACAGTAAAGCATAAACAGTGTGCAGTGTGCAAAAGCTCAATTGATTGAATGTGTATGAAGGATTCTTCTCTAAGTCTATAGAAAACCCAGCTTTCTTATGTGATTTCCGCAAGTCACGTGCAAAAGGCCGCAGCCTTTGCCATGTGACCTAAACCTCAAAACCGCCAAAACAACGCGATTTTCGACGAGTACGGCCTGCCGTACCACAGTATATAAAATGCCAAGCATCTTAATAAGTGAGGAAGGATTTATCGCCCTTACCTAATATTGTATTTATAGCCACGCGGGTTGTATTTTTATTACGCATTTTAAGTTGTCACGTGAAAGTGCGGCGTTCTCCTCCTAGAAGTTTCCACAGGCAGCCACGTTTCAAGTTCTGCACGAAGTTGCCACTCAGACGTTCCAATCCGCCACACGTGCGTGCTTAAAGGCTAATCTCTGTCATCGCGACGAATAATAATCGCTCTGCTGTGTCATCAACCTCTTTCTTTTCCTTTATGCTACAATATAAGCTGACCTGAATCCTCACCAAACACCTCCGTCATCCTCGACGAACATCAACTGATTGCAATTCCACCCAGAAAATATGTCCTCTTCGAGAACTTATTTCAAGAACTCTTCGCCTATTCCTCAAACGCAAAGCCACGTCAGCCGTACATCATGCCAGTGCCGTTTCCCAGACTCAGTCAATATGCCCCAGTCAAAACCATCATCGCTATTTTTGCGATCGCATTTCTACTAGTACTGGGCCAGCCATCCCGACCGGCCAATCAGTTTTATTGCACTACATTGGCCCCGCATTGCTGTGATTCCGAGACACATCCATGCCAATGCCACTGCCACGACGCACCGTATGTCGAATGGCCTGGGAATTGGCATTATTGTGAGCCGGAGTGGGCGTCGCATTGTTGCTTCTCTCACTTTTCGGTGAGTTTTTCCATTCCCTTCTAGATAACGTACATATATCTAACTTAGTCGTTTTCTTATGTGTATAGGACGAACTTGCCGGAGATATGTTTTCGTGTGAGAAAGAAGCTTTAGTTAGACTCAAAGGATGATATAGGAGTTTGAGCTAGTCCAGTCTATTAACTAGTTCGCGGACTCCTACTTAATTAGCTATACTATTAATATAAATACTCTAAAAGTATAGTTTTGTTTTCTTATCTCTCTAGATACTATATCTTTCTAGTTAGTAAAACAATAATATATATATATCTATTATTTTATTTTATAATAGATATTAAAAATAATAAATATAAGCTTTAAAAGTTATATTTAGAAAGTAAAATAAAAAGTAAATAAAAAACGAATTGCCTTTTTTTATTTATATATTATTTATATTATAATTCTAGTTTATAACTATATTATATTATACTTTTATAAATTAAATATATTATATTAATATAACTAATATATAAGATTTTATTTGTAATATTTATATTTAAATTAATTATATTAAATATTAAAGCTATTATTAAACTAGATATAATATACTAGTACTAAAAGTATTTCTAGCTAAAATTAGCCTTTATAATTAAAACTATAATATAAATATTATAAGATATATAGAATTATTTTATATTAAGCTAAAATTATTAATTAAGAAATTAATTAATATAATAATCTTACTTGAATTTTAATTACTAAAATATTATATAACTAATAATAATTTCTTATATAATTATTAGAATAGCTATATTATAAATTTTTAGGTTATATAACTAGTTATATAATCTTATATTTCAGGTATAACTCAATTAATAAACTAGTTTCTATTAAGCTTAATAGATTTAAGAATTATATATTAATATTATAATTCTTATTCTAAATTAATTATTTTACTAATTTTATATATCGAGTATTTTATATATATTATATATTATATTATATATTACTAATAATAATATTAAAGCCTTAAACTTTAAATAAAACTTTTTTTTTTAAATATATTAGAAATAATATAAGTTTAATAAATAAGTTATAATAAAGAAATACTATTATATTATAAATTAAAACTTTTTATAAATTAGAAATAAAAGTAATAATATAAATTTTTTTTTAGAAATAGTTATAAAATATAACTTATAAAAAATTATAAAAGCTATTAAAATACTTTAGATTAAAATACCTTTTTTTTAATATATTAGTTTTATATATATATATATATATATAAATATTAGTTATTATTTTACTTTTATTATTATATAATTATTTTCTTAAATTAATTACTTTTTTTATAATTATATTAATATCTTAATAATTATAAATTTAATTAAGTATTTCTTTTATATATTTCTAATAATTACTTTTATAAGCTCTTAAAAATATAAGTAAATTAATTTAATTCTTAATTTAATTATAATTAAAAAAGCTATAATATAAGAAATTCTTTAATATAGAAAATAATTCAAATATTAAATAAAGTAATAAAATAAAGCTTAAAGATTTAACTTTCTTTTAAGATTAGTAAAAGCTTATTATTAGTAATAAATAAAATAATTATTTTGGAAAAGTTTATATTTATATAATAAAATAAAGACTTAAAAATAAACTAATAAGTATTTTATTTTATCTTCTTATTTTTATATTATAATATTATTTCTAGCTTTTAAAGGCTTATATATCTTTAAATTAATAAAGAAATTAGTAAAGCTATTTAAAATATAATAAATATATATATATAATTTAAAAATAAAAGATATTTAAATTATAAAATAATTTAATAAATTTAAAACTCTTATAATAATAATATTTCTAGAAATATATAATTAAAAGAAAGTAAAAGCTTAAAAAATGAAAATAATAAAATAAATAAGCTATTTTTTTTAAATATTTTTATTAGAAATATTTATAAAAATAATAAAGCTTTAAATATATAAATAATTTATTAAAAGGTTTTTAATAATATAATATTTTATAAGAAATTAAAAAAATAAAAAAAAATAAAGAAAATAAAAGAAATAATACTTTTTAGCTTATTATATTTAATTAGTTAATTATAAGTTTAAAATAATAATATTAAATAATTTTCTAAATATTATTAATTAAAATATTTTATTTTATTTTAATTATTATTATTATTAATTATTAGTATAACTATTTCTATTAGTTTACTAGTAATATATAGTATTATTATATAGATATAGAAATATTATTGTATTAAAGTTAGTAAAGTTATTATTTAGAAGTAGGAATTATAATATTATAGTATTAATATATAATCCCTAAATCTACTAAGCCTAAAAAGGTCTAGTCTATTAGTTAAGTTATTAATAGAATGCGAGGTTATATAACTATATCCTGTATCCTATATCCTGTAACTATATATGTAATTTCTAAAGAAATAGTTATACTAATACTAGAAACTTTCTAAAAAAAACGCGAAAAATAATACCTTTTTCTAATTATATACAAATTCCCTAATTCGGCCTAGTATTAGATTTTCTAAATACTTTATATATCTATATTACTTCTGAGATTTTGGTTATATACTAAAGACTATAGCCTTTTATATATAACTTTCCTTCTTATAATATTCTTCTATTCTATATATTTATTTTTTATTCTATTTATACTTAATCTATTTCTTTATATCTAATTATATAATATTTATATTAATTAGGTACTTGAGGGTATTTATTAGCTTCGATTTTATTATAAAATCGGCAGGATTTAATTTTCCCTTAATTTATTTAACTTCTATAATTTCTTATTATTTATATACCTAGTAAAAATATATTATATTAATTATTAGATATTTTTCTCGAGTAGTTCCTAATTTAATAGGGCATTTATATAGTAACTTTAAATCCATATAGATTACTAGTAATAGTTCTATTTCTAGTATTCTATTAATTATAGATTTAACTAAAGTACTTATATTAAAACTATAAGCTATATTATAAAGTTCTGAAGCTAGAATATTTCTAGTAACTCTCTTATATTTAGTAGAGAACTAGTAAATAATATTAGTATATCTAGTTCTATTTACTAGAATTAGAATATATCCGATTTAGAAAAAGAGATTTCTATTATTTATAAATAAAATATTCGTAAAAATAATTAAATATAAGAACTTTTTTACTAGTTTTATAAATCTTAATTCTCTAGTAATATTTTTAATTTGCTATTAAATGTATTTATTAAGTACTTTTATATTAGTTTCCGAGAATTTAATAGCTTAAATAGTAATTAATAGATTATATAAAACTTCTAGTTAATAGACTAATATAATATATACTTCTCTAGTATATTAGATAATATATTAGTTCTTAATAAAAAGATTTTAATAAATAGTACTTCTATTACTTATAATAGTAATATTTTTTATAGAAATAGTTTAAAGGTTTTTATATTAGTATTTTTATATAAGAGTAATTCTAGTAGTATTTATATAAATAATATTTTT